CCACAGATGATCTCGCTCTCGAAATGGAATTAAACGATTCAGATTAGCTAGCCGAAAGAATAGAAGGGGTAGAGCGTAGCCGGCGGTGGCCCGGGCTGCATGTCACAACTCCTGTCCGGCGCGCGGATGACATCATACACACTCCGCTTTGTTTTTAAAAATTAGAAATATAAAAAATAAAACCGCGGATGTCTGGGGGACAGTGATTCGCCCACATGTTATAGATGCTGGCGTACCATAAATGATAAATTATGAACGGTTTAGTTTGTGCCTTCAAGTCTTTTGCCCATAGAAAGACGTTACTTGATTATAACGGAATATCTTCAGAACAGCTCCAAATGACACAAAACTCATAAAGGTGAGTAGAACATGATGTAATAACGTGAAATCAAGGGGCCAATGTAAAAAAAAAAAAAACAGCGTTCCCCTTTAAGCGTTCATGTTTTGCTCCTACGAGCTTAATAATCAGAATATTGCGCATGCTCTATGCAAGCTCCAGGGAAGTTGGAGCGGAGCAGGATGGGAGGAACAGTGAAGGCTGTAGGCTTTTCGCAAGCAGTCTGGAGCGCAGCAGAGCTGGGCGGTCACAGAGGATTTCGGGGTAAAAGTAGCCTTTAGAGCAAATACTTTAGTTTTTAGACAGGTGACTGTATGAAGTCTTACGCATTATCCAAAACCTCATCTCATAAATGCCCTGGAATTTTACCACTGGATTAAGAACCAATAAACTAACTGGTTAACACATGGACTTGATGGTTAGCTGCACTCTGCACTTTCTGCTCCACTAGGACCAATGTTCAACTTAACAAGCTATTCTATTGTAAAAAACAAAACAAAAAAACAGGTTATTGAAAAAACTGTTAAATACTTTGCTTTAATTAGAGCTTTAAAAATGTATCTATAGGGCATGTACTGTATGTTGCTTATGGTTAGCGCTATGAGAACCAAGATAAAATGGAAATTGTTGTCTAAAATCAACAAAACAGACTAAAAAATAAAAAATCTGCAAAAAATAGCTGATTATGTAGTTTTCATACTCTAAATATGTATAGCTTCTATCATTAAACCATAGAAAATAAAGCGACCATCTTCATAGTTTCAGCTTTATAAGTTTTAGGAACATGATCATGTAGCTTTTGTTGTAATAAATCAGTAATAAGTACGAACAGCACAATAATAGCTCATCTTTTGTTCTAAGATGTGAATTTCTGTCATGTTAACTGATTCGATAAAACACAACAGTCCATATTGCTCCTTTACAGTATTTTGCATCCAGCTGCAGTTGTCTTACCATTTCATGAATACTGGAAACCTCAGACTCCAGCTCATCGTTCTCATCACTGGATGCAATATCTTTTGATTTCTCTTCCCACTGGCATTCCCTTAAGCTAAAGTAGTGGCTCTTAGGTGACATCCTAGCACGGTCAGTACCTAGAAAAGTTTTAGAGAAACATCAAAAACCTTACTCTGTATTCTGGCTATCTGTGGTCTGCCAAAAGATGATAAGTTAATCAGACACACAGTCAATGATAAGAAACATTCATTAAATGTATCCTTTAACCACAATCCAGTGATTTAATGTGATCTGATTTTATGCAAGGCAAATTAAAGTACTTAAATGCAACAAAGTGAACCTGGCTGACTGAAGTGAGTGTCTGCATGTATGCAGCACAAAAGAAGTTCAGCAATTTTTGTGATCTTTGTGAGGTATCGTGGTAATGGAGGCCTTTAAACCTTCTCTTAACTTAATATGAGCATTGATAATCACTAAAATAGACAACAACTGCAGCCCTGAAATAAACAACTCAAGTCATTTTAAAACTGTGATCCAATTTCAGAATAATCAACCTTTAAGCTTAGAAGAAGTCTGAACTGAATTAAGCACTAATTTTTAACTTCTATAACAAAAAGGCCGACTGAAAGATCTCAAAGAAATGGCAAAACATAAGGAAAAAAACAAAAACAAACAACATTTAAACTTCTGTTATTACAGTGCATTGCAAAAATGATTTTATTTTAATAATTTACACAAGCAGCAAGGTATTCCGATATCTGCACTAAATATACTTGGTAGATAAATACTTTCTGTAGTCATACTCACCTGGTTGCGTTTTGTCCCGATCCCTTAAATCCACCACTATCCAACTGTTGCCACGGTTGTCCTCTGTTGGTTTTAGGTGGAAAATGTCGCTCAGGGCACCGACAAGTTCAGTTACACTGAGAAATCCGCTCTGCTGAAATGGCAGGTCTTCTCCATATACCCTCTGATGGAGAAAGAACGATTAAAACATGCATTTTATATGTTAATAAGGGATGCCTTAACTTAATTTTTTTGATATTCCAACATAATGACCGATAATTAGAAAAACTTGTGTTGTCTTTGTAAGGTCTAAAACCAACCAATCAAGGAAATCATTGCACTAAAGGAGGATATTTTCTTGCTGATTGTGTCCAAGTGAATCAAATAAACCAGTTTGGATTGCAACATTACTTTTGTGTGCCAAATATAAAAAACTATGAAAAAAAAAGTTTTTAAAAATGGAGACGTTTAGATCCACTCTCTCTTATCGAGCAGCAGCATATGAGATCTAACTCAAGACTTACATTTTGATAGCATAGATAAAATAAAGAAATGATTCCCACATCAGAAAAACAAAATATTTTACAACTTTAAATGCAAATACAGAAGGCAAGCAGATTTTTTTTCTCTTGTTACAGGTGTTTCATCGCTCATCCAAAAAGCTATTCCAGTTCCTGGTTGCCTTCTACCACAGCACTAAAGACTGTCTTGTCCAGGATTAATGGTAATCTAGTGTAACACACTGAACAACTGGAGGGGAGCCAGCTGAAAAATTGTCCATGGAAAAGATTAATACATGAATTAATAAATGAATTTAAGAGCTAGGTAAATGTAAACTAAGGAAAAGGGTTTTTACGCTCTCTAACCAGACTCAGTCATTATAATACAATTTTTTCTTAGATTTATTCTAGAGCAATAAACTAATAAAAAAAAATAAGAAAGAGAGAAAACTGATTTCTCTCTCTTAATAAGTATGATGGACATAGCAACCTTCTGTGTTTAAACGAGCCATCAGCATTGATTATAGCTACTTTAAGGGGTCTGGAAATTGTAGCCAAGGATGAAGCAAACTTGCTAACAACAATTTTCTTTTTTCAGCAATGCCTTAGAATAAAACTAAGTAGTGTGATCTAACAAAACTCAGAACTGCAAAATTATAACCTCATGCTAGGTTAGTGGATGTAAACGTCTGAATTTAAAGAACATAAAAAAAAAGGCTTTTTTAAAATTCTCGCATTTAGCAAAAGTAAAAATCTGTAAAATGTTGACTGACCTTCAACAGGAAGTTAAGCCTGATTAAATGTGAGCCAACGTAAAATACAGTATGGCACGGAGTGCATTTTAGACCAACTTTAAGTGAATGTCCCCAATTTCGATTTATAATTTTTTGTTTACCTTGTACTCAGCAGAGAGATCGTGAACTGATAATCCATCAGTTGTCTCACCAACAACCTGCAGAGTGTTGGAAATTATTATTAAACCATGATTATACATATAGTTTACATTACAAAAAAGCAAAATACAAATCTTAAATCTTACCATAAACTGAATTATTATAGTTAAGAGATTGTTTCTATGATTGCTTCTTAATCATTTCTAATAACTTAAAACCTTAACCGGTAGGGGGGTGTAAAAATAATCGCCATGACGATGCATCACGATTCTAATTTTTGTGATCTACTGCATCGATTCTTGATGCCAAGTATCGATTCTTAATTTTAAAAAAAGGAATAAATAAAATACATGAATGGTTGGCACACATAGCCAAAAACAAGTTGAATATAACTTTCAGTCCAGTAGATGTCGCTGCAAATGTGTTGAAGCCCGCTGCCTTGTGTCACAAGCTTTTCTGGCAGCCATACTGCAACGAGTCATTCATAAACAAAACATGGAGGAGACTGAGAAAATTTGCCCAGCTCCATCACATTTCAAGTCAGATGTTTGGATGCATTTTGGCTTTAAAAACAAAGAAGATAAAAATGAAATTGATAGGATGCATATAATTTGCAAAAGGGGAAAAGTCATACATTTGAATGTTTTCATTTCATTGCTTTAAAGGACCACTGAGGCTATGTAAACAGCACTGTTATTTTAAGTTTTTTTAAATCCTAAGCACTTTTTGTCAGTGTGTCCACTCCAGTAATAGTCATATTTGTGTTTTCATGGCAATACCTTCGATAGCTGTTTTAATAAATAAAGCTATGTATGAATTCAGTTGCTTTCAGTTATGTATCAATTGAAGACACAGTCCAGATCATACACAGCCAGTCAGCCACTGGTAATAGCCAAATTTTTTTTCTTACAGTGTTCAGTGAAAATATTGCGATGCATCGCAATATTTCAGTAATCGTGATGCATTGTGATAAAATCACATTGTGGCATGTGAATCATGACTTCTTTGACAATGATCACCCCTATTAACCCGTGAATTACATTGTGATGCATTTTTGCCTTTTACGCACCAACTTTGAGAGAGCAGTTGGTCTTGTGAGAAAGTGTTGTTACTTTAGTTTTGTTGTTTTTGTGATGAAATCAGTGCGGCAAACAGATGTGACATCATAAGAGAGGCCATTTTAAATTATAACTGCTGATTTATAGCCCACATCATCATGCTCTCTGCAATTTGTGATGCTGCATACAAATGAGCATGATGGTAAGTGCGGTTGGGAGACATCCACCCATTGTGTGCCTGTTAATGAGTCAGCTTCAAGGAAAGTGTATAAAGTCTGACCTTCCGTAGCTTGTCCTTCAGCTCTTGACTAACTGTGCCAGCAACACTGTACTCCAAGATCTGATGATGAAGCTCCTTCTCATGCTAACAATTTGTAAAGAAACAAAAGTCAGGAAACAAACAAAAAAACATTTTAAACATTCTGTATTTATCTTATTCAGTGTAGTTCTACTTTGTTGAAGGTTTCACAACCACCTTCTGTATTTCTGTCGTTTAACAAACTGATCAAACCCTGAATGCATCTAAAATATGCATGCAATGCATTTCTTATACAAAACATTTATTTCAGTAGATATTCACATGATTAAGATGATGATACAAGAAATTTAGGAATATAATAGATTTCTTAAGTTTTAACAAATGAAGTTGTGTCTCAGGTGCAATGGTTAAACATCTTTTACCTTAATCACATTTTGACAAAAGAGCCCACCATCTTCCCAGGGAGCTTGTTTAACGTCACAGCTCTTATCGCTCATCACTAGGTGGCGACTGCTTTCTGACACTTCCTTAGCTGGTGGCTTCAATGGGCCCTGCTTCACAAAAACTACTGCAAGAGAGCATAAAAATGTTTAAAAGAAAGGTTAAAAAGGCAACCAAAATTTCAAGGACCAAGTTAAATTAATGCACACCCGAAAATTGAATTATAAAAAACAAACCTGAAGGTTTTGTCTTTGCAGGGATTTTGGTGTCAGAGTTTTTAAAGGATGGACTATAAGAGGAAAAAGATGACGGGTTATCTGGCCCGGTTCTCGGAGGGTTGTTCCATTTCATACCCAGCCTGGGCATCAGGTGTTCCCTCAGTGACAGAACTGAGCCCAGCCTCCCTTGATTGATTACGATCATGTCTTTTGCTGCCGCTACCATCTCTCCGACGGAGTAGTAACCATAGTTGTGGATGTTAATTGGGTGGCCAAAGTAGCGCAAATAACAGGCCTCTAGGTCAGACAGCCTTAGTGAACCCTGCAAGAGATGAATTACACACATATTTTATAGATTGAAACGTAGCACTTTACATCTGACATGAAGTTCAGGATTCCAGTAGCCCGCATTGGCATACTTTCAATTAGATTAATACCTAAAAGAACCAGCAAGCTAAACACTGAAATGTCTGGTACAGGAACTGCTGGATTAAGGTCTACCTAGCTGCTGTTTCTGTCAGTCACATTGGGTTTAATAGAGTCAAACCAGGCGCTCACACTTTGACTAAGCTTTTTAAAAGTGGGTTCATCGACTCAGACCTGTGTTTAAACACAGTTTCCCTTCCTGGGATCTTACAGTGGTACTTGAAGCCCTTTGTGACCCTCCATTCAAAACTTTATTTGCCTGTGAATTCGAACTGCAACCATTTTTCTCCTGATGGCTATAAAGTCACACTACGACCTAACGCAGCCCATCTCTCCAACTATAGAGCTTTCTAGCTTTTATCCACCTCATTTGCATCAGACGACCTAAGTAGGTCTCACCTTTTTTGCCCGATATGTGCATTATGTATTTACATTGACTGCACACAGGAGGTGAAATTATGTGATCAACTGTTTGTTTGTACCACTAACCCACGAGGGTCTCCGTATGCCACAAGGACTGAGGGCTCACTCCACCAGGGGTGTAGCCACCTTGCAGGCTCTATTTAAAGGGGTGCCTATGAGTGACATTTGTGCTGCGGCCATCTGGTCTTCACGCATACGTTTGTACAGTTTTATTATTTGGCTGCGACAGCCCCTTCTGTGGCTCACTCAGGTTTTCTCTGCTGGGTCTAAAGTGCTGCAATAGCCTGCTGTGCTTGACCCAGGTTTGATGGCTGCTCAGCGGGGCGTTTATATATGTACCATACTTGTGTTTTGTTTTGAGTGACTTGAATGAATGAGAACGTAAAATTACGTAAATAACTACTGTTCCCTGAAGCAGAGGAACGAAGTACAACACCTATCTGTTAGGCGTTATTGGCGGTCATGACGAACACATATAGTGCAGGTGGGTCTTGCCTCGTGTCGTCATCTCGTCATTTGCCAAGGAGGCGTTATCAGAGGTGGACACACATCCCATGCCCGTGTGTCGTACTTTGTTCCTCTCCTTCAGTGAACAGTGGTTATATAACTTTATGTTTTCAGAAGGAGTTTTGGTGGCGCTCAGACTGTATGGGCATAGAGATGCCCCCCCCCCCGGCTAAAGAAGGGGCTGAAGAAAGTAGACCAGGCTGGTGAAGGGGGCTTACAGCTGGTTTGATGCTGGAACTTGACCTTGATGAAGCAGCTAATGAAGGGAAGTCTTAGCTTCTATTGGCTTTTGAGGAGGCTTTCAGAGCAGGAGAAGATTGGCAGTAGATCTGGATGACATGACAGTCTGGCTTTGCAGGGTAAGACTTAGCAGAGTTTTCCAAAATGGAAAATACCCCCAAGCTCCATATAGCACCACTTTATTAACTACAACAAAATACTAAATATTTTCCTAGAAATAAATACTGATTAGGATTGTTAATATTATGAAAAGATAAGTCAACAATTTCACCCACCTCATCAATTACTAAAACAAAAAAGACTTCCTTAAATCACCTTCGAAAATATATTTTTTTTCCATGTTAAACAAGCAAGTCTTTTAAAACAAATTCAAATATATAATCAGTTAAAAGCTGTTGATGTAACTGATTATTTGCTTTAATATTTTTCCTCCTTTTTCAGATATGGAAAAAAATGAGAGAAAACAAACTTGAGAATACATTCTGTTTTCATACTGTAGTTCTGTTTAAGATACTTTATTTATAAATGTGAAATATGCATATAAACAAAAAATTAGTTAAGGGATTTAACCCTTTAAATGACGTTCTCAAAGCTTCAAATTTCTTTCAAAAAAGAACAAAAAAACATAAAAACTGTCCTAAAAAAAAAGAATCCACCATCCATCTAAACTTTAATCATCTTAAATGCCTTTGTATTGAGCTAAACAGAAGGCCTAGTGTTCAGACAAAAAGGGCATTTTTATTTCTTCTGGGTTCATCAGTTACTTTTCCCACAAAAATGTTTGTGTATTGGTAAAAATCCAACACCAACGTATTATCTATGTTACAATTTAAGTCATACCTCCGAGAGCAGGATACGTAGCTGTGTCTTCAGATTGGCAGGGAGGGCTGGTGGAACGTGGCCTCTTCTAGGGAGCGGTGTAAATGAGGGCCGATCGTAACGAGTAGAACGAATATTCTTGATCTTGTCAGACCTAGATAACCGCTGCCTGGCTACTAGCTCCTCAATATTTTGGGTATTCTCGTCACTGATGGCTACAAGAAACAAATATCACAAGTAGTTAGAAAACAAATGAAAAGACTAAAAAACCCACCATCAGATTAAGGTCCCATATAAGAGGAAGACAATCACAGATAGTTGACAAATCATCAGACAAAAAAATTGTGGAGTCCAAACATAGTCAGACTTTCTCACCTGATAGTGTTAAGTTCAGTGCAACAATGTCCTCCATAAATAACTTGTTCAGGAGGTTTAGTCCCAACCTGTATGATCTAAAGTATAAATGCAGCTCTCTGAAGTTTTTAGAGGGTTTTTGATAATCAGTCTGAGTGTAAGCAGCTCAATCAAGAGCAATTGCCGGTTAATCTTTAAGCCTGGGTGCAGCAGGGGGGCAGTAGGAAGTTTTCAATACTTTTAAGTTTTAAATAAGCATCAGTGAAAAGTTAAACCTGTACGCCAAACACTGCAGTGAGCAAATAGCCAAAAGACATTAATAAATGGGGACTGACCAGAAAATACCCTGTAGTTGTTTCAGAAAACGCTGTAAATATGGTTTATGCAGTGAAGATTATGCAGCTCATGCATGTCTGCTGTGTCACCGCTGTCACGTCTGTTTGCTCGTGTGAGGCTTCACCTTTTCACTTTTCACAAACAAGTTTGCTCTTTAGAGACAGTTTTTTTCACATCTCAAGTTTAAACTGTCTGATTTACAAGTTTGCACTTTGTGTTTAATATGACAGGAAAAAATAAAATACATGAGTATTTTGAAACCCGGTTGAACCACTTTCATTATTGTAAAAACAGATTGAATCGAAATTCATCGATTTAGAATTGCATTAATCGAAATCGAATCGAAACAGGACTTTGGCCAAAATACCCAGCCCTATTGTATACTACAGCATTTTCATGTCCAAAATATTGCATTGTGCAGTACAACAGAGTAATACTGTAGAAAATAACGGCAGTTTCAGTAGTGCATTTGTTTACATGAGGGAAGGTTCATTTAAACTCAAGAGGGTAAGGTTTGATTTTTAACTATACAACATCACACTCAATTTTGTCACGTTCAGCCGTTGACACTGACTGTCACACGAAAAGGAAGGTTAACTGTGTGCTTATCATTTCTGAAACAGTCTAACCTCTTAAAGGAATAGTACACCCAAAACATGATTAGCCTTCATTTTCTACTCACCCCCATGCTGAACAACACCCTGGAGTACTTTTTTGATATCTCAAATGCATCTGGAGATCTGGGAGGCTTCTTGCTGTCTGCTGACATTCAAATAATGGAGGTCCATAGCGCCCGAGACAGAAAGGTCCATAAAAGTCCACAAAAAAACGTGTCAATATTCCTCCATACTGCTCGTCCAATGTATTCCAAGTGTCCTGAGTGGGTAGCATCCAGAATTTACTCAAAACGAAGTCATTTAGAATGTTTTTAGAGCATAAACAGTAGTGTATAGGATTTCCTGAAAGCGCGCACATGCGCGTTCACGACGCTACGGAAGCCGGCAGACCAAACCAGATGAAAGTGCGCATTCAGCGTCTGCTCTGCCAATAATGCAAGCGTAGAAGAAGAAATGTGCTGTTTACCTGTGCAAAGAAAGAAACAACGAAAGAAAAATGTCTGAGGACGTCAGTGTTGAGGAAGAGCATGAGTTCTTTGCCGAGCTGAATGCGCTGGTTTGGTCTGCCGGCTTCTGTAGCGTCGTGAACGCGCATGTGCGCGCTTTCAGGAAATCCTATACACTACTGTTTATGCTCTAAAAACATTCTAAATGACTTCGTTTCGAGTAAATTCTGGATGCTACCCACTCAGGACACTTGGAATACATTGGACGAGCAGTATGGAGGAATATTGACACGTTTTTTGTGGACTTTTATGGACCTTTCTGTCTCGGGCGCTATGGACCTCCATTATTTGAATGTCAGCAGACAGCAAGAAGCCTCCCAGATCTCCAGATGCATTTGAGATATCAAAAAAGTACTCCAGGGTGTTGTTCAGCATGGGGGTGAGTAGAAAATGAAGGCTAATCATGTTTTGGGTGTACTATTCCTTTAACATCCACCTCCTTTTGGGTAATCCTCGGCTATTTTGCATACCAAAATGGAAAAGCAAATGGCTTAGAAACTGTAAGCCCAAAATAAATGTGCAATACATTATTTGAAAGCTAACACTTGCTAGTCTCTAAAATTGGATGACAAGAACACAAAACAACCTGCATTAGTTCAAACATGACTCAAAGTTGTTGTTTTTTTTATTCTCGGAAATGCTAGGTCTTTTTTTGAACAGCAGTAATAAAGACACTCTTGAGAAAAAGCAGGTTTTATTGTATTATATGTGTTCTACATCATGTCAAAGACATATGCAGACCTCTAGCTATAGCAGTTCCAGAGCTGTGGGGTATGGAACGTTTGTTGTCAGCTTGGATCTGCCCGCAACGGCTCCACCTGCTGGTAAAAAATTTACAGGCGGAATTTTATGCATTCTGAGTTATTACGCCCATTTAAGGTCGACCCGGTGGGTTTTAAGAGGTTAACTAGCTAAAAAATGCCAACAATTAAGAAGCTACCATCATATGTCCGGATAGGACTGGGCGATAGGGCTAAAAAATAAAATCTAAATTTTAACAAACACTACGGCAACAATAAATGTATTGTTAAAAAAAAATGTAAACTTAAATATTCATAACATAAATTTTGTGCAAATAACACAAAATTTCACCCAAAAATAATTGTACTGATTTTTTATCAGCAAACAATGTACACCTATATATTCAGTACAAGTGCAAGAAAAAATAGCTTTATTTAATGAAATATGTAAGTTAATAGTCAATAACTTACACCGATCATCTGAAAAGTAGACGGTTTGTAAACATCAGCTGTTGAGATCCCAGTTCACGTCGATATAATGCTCAGTTTAACTCCTGTACAGCTGAAGACACTGTCTGAACCAAAGGTCTGTAGTAGTTGTAAATAACATAGCAGAGTTTAACTTTTGATACAGCGCTTGTAGCTTTTCGTTTTGGTAGTGTCATATTTTGGACCATACACTTAAGCATATGAAGGAAGCCAGCCTGCTTTACCATGTAAATCAGCACCATGTCCGTGCCTATATGAACAGCTACAGCGTCGGTCATCTGCTTCAACCGCACACTACACTAGCCGTATGGCACTGCTTTAGAAAATGAGGCCGCCAAGGTTTGTGGTCTTTTCTTCTAGTGAACGTGTTTGTCTTTTCCCGTGATACCGATGCTGCACTTCCAAATCTGTGAGAGCTGCTCACATTCTGTGGGCTGCCTTTGCCGGGGACGCTGAAACAAGTTAGTTGTGCTGCTAATCTTTGATTTGATAGCATCAACCATCCTTGCACACGACTGCAGTCTGCTCCACATCGCATTGTCAAATAATCGACAAAACACGAGTCTCTTTTCTCATTACAAACTCTTCCGATTTAGCAGCGGTCATGGCGTGAGTAAACAGTGCAGCATGCTATCAGGCAGAAGGAGGAAATAGGCTGAGGCAAACGCCCAAGTAAAAAATGCAGAAGAAGAGACTTCCTTCATATTACAATTTAGCAAAATTTCAAATCGTGGACTTTTAAAAACATTAATTGATTGAATTAATTCGAGTTATCGCCTAGCCCTATATGCAGACTTTATTTTTCATATTAGAGACCTGAAGGCAGATGTTACCTACAGTAGTGAAACAAAGACATGACCTGCAGGCTTAAAAATTACAAAAACTTATTTTGGTGATGAGCTCTTGTAGCGCTGCTGGAAAAAGAAGCTTGACTAATGTTCTAGCTTTCTGTGGTGAGCCATGCATCCTAAAATTTGCATGTTCAGGGTATTGTATGACTGATTCAAAGTGACCGGAAAAGAGTGGATTCCATGCACCAATGCATCTGCTGTCACACAAACATCAACTATGTTGACTATAGATAGATTTAAAGGCATAGTAGACCCAAAACATGATTAGCGTCCAGAATTTACTCGAAACAAAGTCATTTAGAGTGTTTTTAGAGCCTAAACAGTAGTTTATAGGATTTCCTAAAAGCACGCGCCTGCGAGTTCACGACTCTACGGAAACCGCGGCAGACCAAACCAGATGAAAGTGCGCATTCAGCTCGGCAAAGAA